AACCCCCCCCCCCCCCCCCGCTGCGTGAATAACTGCATTGACCGCTAAAGCCAATGCATTCTCGGGATCGGATAGAGATCTGTAATCATGAGTTGACGTGACACCTTCCCTACTGATTTGTCAGATCAGTGGCGGCCTGCTGGCCCGACCAACGTGTACCTGCATTTCAACAAGTTGTTGGCCTCTAGGTACAAACTCCCTCATGTGCGTGCACAGACTCAACATGGAAGTCGTGTGCAATTTCAATCAGCTTGGGCACAGTCACACCCACCAATGCCGTCCACTGGTGGCTCAACCGCGCCTGCCCGCGGCTGACTCAGAGCCCGGCGTGAGGTGAACTCTGACCTCTAGTCGTACCAGCATACTTCACAGCTCTCCCCCACCAGTATGACCAAGCGCTGTTGGCCCCTCCTTCGCTATGACCAACGAAGGCCTCGAAAAGACGCACAGATTGATCACTGCCGACGCTGCCATGTGGTTCCTGCTTATGTGGGCTCATCACACCGGCCCGCTGCCCGCCAAGGCCAGTTGGGCCAATCAGGACACTGCACAGCTTGGTCCACCCGCCCGCGACAACAGTATCGCGAATTTGGCGTTGTTAGTGACCATGGGCCATGGTCACTGACGAGACCAAGCACATTAATATCTCTTGCCACCATGTGCACGGATTCCATGAGCAAGGCACAATTTCTCTCTCTGATGTTCCCTCCACACGCAGACCCACCAACAATTGCACCCAGCCGCTTGCTGTGGCTCTGTATACCAAGCACCAGATCATGCTCGGCGTCACCAAATTCGTGCACCCCGTGCATTGCCGTTCCTGACTGCGGCCCAAATTGGGGGAGGAAGAGTGTTAAAACAACATGCATGCACTTGCTACAGCAACTTGGGCACTCGCAAAGCTTCCTTCCATTGCGGGTTGCAATGCCCCATTTCCTGTGTTGACCTCTCATGCCAGTACCTTCTCTTGATCAAATTGGGATCTGTTACCAAGGTGCGAGCCCCCCACCTGAGTACTTAAACCAGTGGCAGCCTGCTTTCCTGATTAGCTTGCAGTATAAACATGTCAACATCCAGCCGCACTTTCGTCGCTGCAGCACTGTGAGCACCCACATTAATTATCCTTCACAGAAATTACACGCACAATCCATGTATGCTGCCAGGCACACCCATCAGAAACCTCAGCGAGCCCACGTCGCTGGCCCAAAATCATTACATCAGGGACACAGGTTTGCACGTTGGGAGGAGAGTTGTGGAGTCGTATGCCATAAACGTTGCATGCAAAAGTTTGCAAGGTGAGCCAGGTGTGATAGTCAGTCCGTTTGCTTGAACATGACCAAGTGTAGGAGGAGCGAGTGCGTGTAGTCGCATAGGGTTGCTTGCACAAAGAGGTCTCGTCAAATTCCATATGTGCACAGCAGCCATAGACAGGGATGGGTGGCAACGACGCACCAGGTCGCGCAAATTTGTACAAATTTGCTCTTGAAAGGCAAAAGAATGACAGTGGTCAGTCAGCCTGCACCCTGTGGCTTGACATCCAGATAGGCGTCAACGCATCCATGGCCACGTTGCTGCAGATGTTGACGCTATTTACCAAGCGTGAAAGCCGACTTTTTTGCAGATCAATATACCCCCAAGCGCGCTCTGTGTGCTGAGCATGGCGGGTCCATTGCTTGATAGAGGCGCGCGCAAGGAAGCCAGCTATCGCTGCTGCAGTGTCAAGTCGCCGCTCATCCGCTTGCAGGAAGGCGACAGCTCCTTGGCGGTCAAGAGGCTGCCCGCATAGCACACGCGTGCAACCGCGGGGCGCGCCACCGCCTGTCCAACACACGAGTCCGACCAAACCGAGATGCCAGTGACCTGGCAGCGCCACGCCTCCTGCCCGGCCGCGCACTGTGCGTCGTCGGCGCGCGTGCACAGTGACGTCATCCCGTAGTTGCAGCGCAGGTTGAACATCCCGCGCCACTCGGCAGCAAGACGCAGGACAACAGATGCGCCGCCGGCCTGGGCCCCCGGCTGCGCAGACAAGGTGACAGTGGTTATCAGATCGCTGCCCTGCCCGGAGAAGCTGAAGCCTGCGTCGCATTTGACAGTGCCTGCGTAGCTGCCCATCCGGAGCTTGTAGGTGGGTCCCGCTGCTGGCGTCGGCGCTGGCGCTGGGGTGGGTGCTGGCGCCGACGCTGGTGCAGGTGTTGGTGTGGTCGCCGGGGAGGGCGCCAGAGCAGGTGCAGGTGCAGGCCTGGGGCCGGGGCCAGCGGCAGGGCCGGGCGACACGGAGGGGACAGCAAGGCTCGGCGAGGGGGCTAGCGACGGGCTCGGGACCGGTGACAGGAGAGGAGGCGAGGCTGGCGCAGGGGCAGGCGACAGGACCGGTGCCGGTGCCGGCGCCGGGGAGGGCACAAAGGGCAGGGCGGGCGCCGGCACAGGGGCCGGGGCAGTGGGTGACGAGGTGGCCGGCACGGATGGCTGGCCTTGCGTCGGGGGTGTACCCGGCACCGTGATGCCGCAGAGTGTGAGGGTCGTGTCTCCCAGCATCTTGTCTGTCTCAGGGATGCTGTCAAGGTTGTCCAGCAGCAGCTGCTGGATGGGGATGCCCCAGGTGGTCGCGACCTGTGTGACACAGTGCCGCAGAGCGGTGGGGGTTGGAGATGCAAGGGTGAATTAAGGCTGCAAAAGATGGGCCTCATAACAGCTGGGCAACTTGTGCCGGCACGATTGCACGGCTGGCAATTGCGTTGAGTGCAGGTGAGGGCGGCAAGCATGGAAACACACCTTGGAAACGTAGTCGCTGCACAACGCCGTGACGGAAGTGGGGTAGGGCAAGGGGTTGTGTCAACTTGGGACGACCTCACTACTGGCTGTCCTGTTGTTACTAGACGCCAAGCCACACGCGTGTAGCCGCAAAGCTGTGGCATGCCGCAAGGCAGGCAGCAGGAGCTGTGACAGCAGAAATTGCGCCTGCAGTTGCTGCAAGACGCGCACGCAGCGTCTCAGCACTCGCAAGGGGGGTGGGTAGGGTGCAAGCCTACCTGGGTAGGGTGCGGTATTTGTAGCAGCCAGGGCGGCTGGAGGGCGACAGTCTGTTGAGGGGCTTGGGAGGGGGCTTGTCCGGCACAAAGTAGATTCCAAATGTGTCGTCAGGGTAGCCAACGCCGTCAACTCCAAAGGCCACCTGCCACCAGGGGGGCCGGCGCATACGTAGGAACAAGTCAATGGGCGCTTGACAGTGATACAACAAGCACAAATTAAGCAGTTGAAACCATATGTGCGGTGACAACACATGGACACCCAAAGGTGTGACCGTGCATTACGTATAGACGCTCCCCGGTTCAGGTCGGCCGCTCGCTGGCCGCCTCGACGTTGCTGCGTTGCTACCACAAGCAGTGGCACCCACCTTGCAGAATCCGCTTGCGGCGAAGTTGACTCCCCACGAGTTCTACCATTCAGGATGTGAGAGAGCAGCATGGACATTTACGCAAAGTCACCGGCAGAGTGCAGGCAAAGGCATGTGTCCAGCCCCACCACCCAGTTTCCACACCCTGCATGCACTGGGTGGGTGGCACCACATGTGTCTGCAAACATATGTGCGCACACCCAGCCCGCCGCCCACCTTGACGATCCAGTACCCCTTGTCAAGGTCGTAGCCAACCAGCACGACAGCATGGCTTTCCTTGTATACAGCCTTGGGCCCTGGATGGGGATGGCGTTCCATAGGCCACGAAGGAAGCAGCTGAGATGGCAGCAACATGTGTTGGTTCGTCCTTACGCAGGGGGGCGACAAGCGCTCCCATTGGTGCATGCGCGTACACACGAAATCGTGCGAGCATATGTACGCACACACGCATGGACGCGTGTGTGCGCATGCACGCAAACATGAGCACATGCCAGCCACACAGATGCACGCAATCCACGAGAACACCCTCAGGGCATGCTGGCGCGGCACTTGCGCACCGTGGCCAGTATAGATGCCTGACGTGTTGCTCTCAAAAAAGGACCTGAAGTCTGTGAATATGTTCAGCCGTGTGACCACGCTGCCAAACAGCCTGCAGGGTGGTGCAGCAGGGTGAAGACAGGTCAGATGGGACATGCCCCAAAAAACTTGGCATCCAGATGTATTGGCTCACATCTTTGTGCCCTGACCAGTCGCCATTTGCTACGCTTGCACACGCACACGCGCGCATGCACACACTCATATACACACACCTGATGTGGTTTTGCATCTCCCACTCGGTGGTGAGCGCCTTGAACGAAAAGACGCCTTGCTGCAGGAACGGCTCGACATCGGTGCACTCATAGCTGCAGCTGGGGTTGCTGGGATCATACGGCAGGCACCTGCACAAGAGGCACGTGGGTCAAGAGGCAGATTGCGCGGGCGCGCGGCTGGTACCCGGGAGCGCAGAGGTGCTGGATTTTGAGCGTTTCACGCAGCTGGCGGTTGCGGCAGCTGCACCGCCCAACACGCACACATTGCACCACAAATTAAATCCATTGGGCCGGGATGGCTCC